CCTGCAGGGCTAGGAGGGCAGCCTGCACAAATTGCTGCAAGACAGTCAGGGGCTGTTGCGTGCCCAGAAGCAGCTATGGCTCCATAGCTGAGAGTGCTATGGTGTCCAACAGGGCAACCAAACACACAGGGAATATGCTTTGCTGTCCCTCAGAGAGGTAGGCAAAGGTGAAGAACCTGAGACATGGCTGCAGTGGGGATGTGTCTTTAAGCAGGAGCCTCAGGCAGCAGCTCCAGGAAGTCACTGCTGACCTGATGCCCTACCTGAAGTGGTTCAGGTGGCCTTCTATGCGATTCAGCGTCCTATCAGTGTGGAAGCTCTATTTCGGAATACCCAAGCACTATTTCCTAAATGTCATTTCAAGCTTCAACTCAAGCATGCATGGTCTCTGGACAGTAGACATTTTTTAAACGTTTTCAACCAGAATTGAAGTTATTCAAACAAACTGTTTAAAAGATATGGCAAAAAGGAAAACAGATCTTAATCTTACTTTGAGTTACTCTAACACTAAGAACAGATACTGCAAATGAGGCTGAGCTGAAAGATCTTTATATTAAAAAATGCACAGTAAGACTACAGGCATTCAAAAGCATCTTCAAAAGTTATGCAATGTCAAAGATATCAAAATCCACAAGTAATAATGGGCTCATACAATCTTGAATGCAGACTGCTACAGTGGCCTAAAATCACCACATTCAATGTCTACACAAGTCCTATAGCACCACAGTTCAGCTACAAAACAATAGAAGGGATTTGTATGTTGCCATAATAAATCCACTCCCTACCGAAGTGGTAGATAAGTCAAAGGAGAAACTTTTTGATCAACCTAGCAGTGTCTATTCTGGAGCAGTGGTGATGACTTCTTACAGGTGCAAATTTCTCATAACCGGAGCGATGTAGTTCAGATGGCTTAAATCTTAGGTGCAGACCAGGCTACTTAGCCTGCTACAGAACTCCACTGACAGCTGTACTGTCCCAGCTAACAGATACACCAAAGTGCTTCTGGTTAATTTAAACACTCATCACATACTTGCTATAAGGCTAAATGCATCTGCCAAACATAACACAAGATGCAGTGTATCTACACACTAGCAAGATCCAGGGACAATGTCACTGTGAGAAACGCAGATCCTGTCACCCCAACTGCTAAGATTCTGAAGGTGACCCAGAACACTACTCCAGGCCTACTGGAGTCAAATTTTACTCTCCCTTGCCTTTTTTGATAGTTGATGGACTGGCAAAGTTTTGTCTTCTTGAGAGTCTCCTGGCTAACCCTCTTAGAGGTGGGGTTTTCTTTCCACTATTCTGCCCCAGCCTGCTGCAAGGGAGGAGGTTTCTTTTCTAAAACAAGCCCTGTCTGCCTTTTGGGTTCCACTTCCTATTAGTAGTTCCTACAGATTGGAACAAAGCTGATTTAGAGTTTTTAAGCAATGGAGACTACATTAGACCTTGAAGCTGAAAGCCTCTGCCATAAAAGCACAGTGCTTCCCTTCAGCAATCCTTTTGGCATTAAGAAAGGAAATTCACAATTGCTAAACAATAGATTTCCTGCAGAGGAGCTCAGAGTTTCCATGACATATCAGCAGATTCTGGGTGCAAATTGCAGATGACTTTTGATGCATCCTATCCTTGCCAGAGGACAATTACTAAAGTGCTTCCTCTTTGCTTCATAGCTGATGAGCTGGCAAAGATTTAATAAGAGAGCACTAATATCCAAATCCTTCAGTGCTTGCTGCTCCTTGGTAAGAACAATATTTCAAAGAAGGCTGAAGCTGTAGCACATCTCCCAGTTTGATGAACTTTTCAGGTCCACCAATCAACTGCTTCTTCCTTGTTGAGGAGTCTACAGCCATCAAGCGTAAGAAGTGAAAGAAAGGAAACAGACAGTAGGGATACAGAGATGGGAGCGTTACATCACAGGGAATTATGGCATTTATGGATACAAAGGTGAGAATACCTAAAGTTTATGGTAATGAGTGATCCAATACCAATCCCTATTCAGACCCATTCTTATACATCTGATGAAGGGAGTTGCAGCTCACAAAAGCTTACACTATAATACAATTGTTAGTCTTCAAGATGCCACAAGACTCCTTGTTTTTGCTGAACAGACTAACACAGCTACTTCTGAAACATAGGAAAGTAGAGCTACAAATGACCAATGCACCAAAAACAAAGCAGGTGTGGAGAGGAAGGCTGGATGCAAGAAACTGCTCATAAGAGCTTGTGGAGGGAACATAAGTACTCCACAAATCTGCAGCAGCATTTTAAGCCAAGGAAGCCTGTGGAGCACAGAAACTGCCAGGCTCTGATCTAAACACTGCATGGGTGAGTAAGCATGGAAGGAACAGACATGGCCTGGAGAAATTGCCATGATGCCACTATGTTACAGAGGGAAATAAGGTAAGGGGACGAGAATACACTTGCAAAGCTCTAAAGGGAGCTGCCATTTGAAAAGGAAGACATGTGAAAGCAAGGCCTCAGATTATCAGAAATTCTGTTTCTGGAAAATTCTGAAACATTTTTTCAAATGTAAAAAAGTTCCCAGACAAGAAAAAACATTAAACTATAGTTTGAGAATAAGAATTACAGAAACTTAAGGATAACTGCTCTTACACAAGCAGCAAGGGAGGTTTCGGTTGGACATTAGGAAAAACTTCCTAACTGTCAGGGTGGTCAAACACTGGAATAAATTGCCCAGGGAGGTTGTGGAATCCCCATCTCTGGAGATATTTAAGAGCAGGTTAGACAGACGTCTCTCAGGGATGGTCTAGACAGTGCTTGGTCCTGCTATGAGGGCAGGGAACTGGACTCAATGACCTCTCAAGGTCCCTTCCAGTTCTAGTGTTCTATGATACTATGAGAATTGTATTTATTGCAGTTAAGCACTGGAAAACTGAAAGAAATTCAAACTTCTGATGGTCAAATAGCCAACTTCCAACCCTCAGGCACCACTGGTAATACTAATTTTATGAGATGTTATTTTTTAATATATGTCTCCTTCTGAGGTCTGAGAAGTCTGCTAACCTCTGCTGTGGGTATTCAGAATTTGGAAAATTCAGAATTTTGTTTCAATAGTCACAGCAGCATCCTTCACCTCCTATGGTCCTTCAGAAGTCCTCTTCACATTTGAAGTGTGGCTGAAGATACCATACTGCCACAAGCTTTTGCTGGAGTTTTAAAATATGGACCAAAGATCATACATGTGAAATCAACTATAAAACGTATGTGATGCAACATTTTCCCATCATGCTAAATTTGCCATTTTTGTTAATGCATGAGTAAGCAGATGCACACTACCTCTAGCAATTCCTAATTAGGACATAATCCTCAGGCCAGAAAGGACCACTATGATCATCTACTTTGACCTCATAAGAAAATAAGAGCACAAGAACAGTCATACTGGGTCAGACCAAAGGTCAATCTAGCCCAATATCCTGTCAGTCAACAGTGGCCAATACCAGATGCCTCACAGGTAGTGAACACAACAGGTAATCCTCATGTGATCCCTCTCCTGTCATCCATTTCCAGACAAACAGAGCTAAGGACACCATTCCTACTCATTCTGGCTAATAGCCATTGGTGGACCTAACCTCCATGAACTTATCTAGCTCTTTTTTGAACCCAGTTAAAGTTCTAGTCTTCACCACATCCTCTGGCAAGGAGTTCCACAGGTCGATTGTGCTCTGAGTGAAGAAAAACTTCCTTTTGTTTGTTCTAAACCAATCTACTTATTTCATTTGGTGATCCCTAGTTCTTATATTATGGAAACAAGTAAATAACCTTTCCTTATTCACTTTCTTCACACCAGTCACAATTTTATAGACCTCTATCATATCCCCCTTTAGTCTCCTCTTTTCTAAGATGAAAAGTCCCGGTCTTTTTAATCTCTCTTCAAATGGGACCCGTTCCAAATCCCTAATAATTTCTGTTGCTCTTTTCTACGTATATCTTTTTTTAAAAGAGGCCACATCTGTACATAGTATTGAAGATGTGAGTATACCATGTTTTATATATTAAGGTAAAAAGATATTCTGTCTTCTTCTCTATCCCTTTTTTAATGATTCCTAACATTGTTTGCTTTTTTGACTGCCGCTGGAAACTGAGTGGATGTTTTCAGAGTATTATCCACAATGACTCCAAGATCTCTCTCTTTAGTACAGTAAAACTCCAATAGTCCGGCATCCAATAGACCGGCACTCCTGATAATCCAGCATCAAAATGGCAAGAGCCTAGTAAGTAAGCTTCAGCAAAAAATGAGTCACAAGGTAACAGCGGCAGCAGCTGAACTGAGGAAAAAGGGTAAAAAAGGCTTAAAAAACTAAAACATTACAGTATACTGTATATAGTATGTACAATAAAAAGGGTTAAGAACACTTTATATACAGTATATAATGTGTACAGTATATATATAACCTGCTTATAGTACCTCCTGATAGTCCGTCATATCTGATAATCTGGCACCACCTAAGTCCCATAGGCTTTATCGGAAGTCTACTGTAGTTTGTAGCTAAGTTAGCCCCCATCATATTGTATGTATAGTTAAGATTATTTTTTCCTATATGCATTACTTGACATTTATCAACATGAAATTTGCCATTTTGTCACCCAATCACTCGGTTTGGTGAGATCATTTTAAACCCTTCCCAGTCTGCTTTGATCTTAACTATCTTGAGCCGCTTAGTATCAACTGCAAATGTTGCTACCTCACTGTTTACCCCTTTCTCCAGATCATTTATTAATAGGTTGAATAGGATGGGTCCCAGGACAACCCATGGGGAACCCCACTAGTTACCTCTCTCCACTCTGAAAACTGACCATTTATTCCTACCCTTTATTTCTTGTCTTTTAATCAGTTATCAGTCCATGAAAGGACCTTCCCTATTATCCCATGACAACTTAAGAGCCTTTGGTGAGGGA